AGGGGCCGCGCTCCTCTCTGTATCATTCTAATCTTAGTACATGTGCTGCTGAAGTGAGCACAATATGGAATGCTTCACAAATTTGTGTATAGTACCACTGGTAGTGATGTACACCGACATCTTGTACTGTGCTGCCTGAGTTTATGCTTAAAAATAGCATAATATCACTTCTGTGGTATTTTTGAGGAAAAATGCATAATCCCAATTTGGAGGTTTTTTTGTTTTTGTTTTTTAGCCAGGGCCTCACTATGTAGTTCAGGCTGGGCTTGAACTCACTATTGCCTTGAACTCATGGCAACCCTCCTGCCTCAGCCTCCTGAGTGCTGGGATTACAGACATGTGCCACCATGCCTGGCCAGTGCATATGCTCTTAACCTTGGCAATATTGATGTTTGGGTCAGATAGTTCTTTGTTTTGGGGACTGCCTTTTGCACTATAAAATGTTTCTGTAGTCTGTGACAGTACTCACTGGGCACCAGTACCAGCACCACTACTACCACCATAGTCTTATGACAACCAGAAATATCTCCAGATACTCCACATGTCCCCTGGGAGGCAAAACCTTTCCCTCATTGGGAACTTCTGCCTTAATGTCATCATGAGCAAATAGTAGGCAAACCCAAACTGAGGGAAATTATACAAAATAAATGTCCACATGTGAGCACCAAGGTTTTAAAAGATAAGACTGAAAAGCTTAACAGGTTAAAAGAGGATGAGGAGGCATGATGAACAAATGCAGTGTGGAACATTCTATCAGATTCTGGAACAGAAGGACATTAGTGGAAAATCTGATGACACTGAAATAAAGTCTCTGGTGTAAGAAATCGAAAGTGTAAATAAGAATCAAAAGGTATAATAGAAATTGTGAAATAGGAAGAAATTGTTCAAAAAGAAAGGGGAACTGGGGAGGGTGGGTAGGGGGAAAGGAAGGAAGGGAAAAGAAGGAAATGAGAAAAGAAGGGTAAAATGGAAACAAAGCTTTGTAAATCAAGAGAGGAAGAGGAGTTGAAGGTAGGGGAGGGAAATGGGGAAAAAAGAAGATATATCATGTACAGGTACAAATTCCCCATGATTAATGTGATTATTATGTACATCTAAATTGTACCAGTAAATTTAATTTTTTAAAAAGTGCTACTCAGGAAAAACCAAACGAAACTGAAATAAAGTTGCAGAGGAGGAGTTATACTATGGTAATACAAGACCTGAACATTAAAGAAGATAATTAATAGGTATAGAGGAACTATGGAAACTGTTTTTGCAACTTTCATTCAAGTCTAAAGTTATTTCAAGATAAAAAGCTTTTAAGAAAACAATCTACTGATGCTATTAAAATGCAAGTAAATTTTCTATATTGAACTCTATGACAAAGATGTAAGTGGACATATTGTTTGATATTGCTGAGATGATTCCCATCATTGAAACACTGATAACCAGAATAAATTCAAAGCACACCAGTGCATGTGTGTTCTGCACCACAATTTATATTTGTTGTTTAAATTTTCCTATAAATGGAAAACTTTGCAAAATTCAATTGGTGATTCAAAAAGAGGAACAACCAGAATCACATAATAGCATTGAACTAATTTGGCTTGGATTAAAGTTATTCATGTTTCTCTTATATTTTCCTATGTGATGGGAGACCACTTGTTTTAATATTACTTAAAAGGTCCAGATAGTTCTTATGCATATTAGGTGCTTTAAAAATGTTTACTGAGGACTGGGGATATAGCTCAGTGGCATAAGTGCATGCCTGGCAAGTGCAAGGTCGTGAGTTCGATCCCCAGTACTGCAAAAAAAATAAAAATAAAAATGTTTGCTGAATTCAATGGGTTTTTGTTTTCATTAGGAAAATCCGAGACAAGCAAATATGTTTTATTTATGTTTCAAATTCTGTAACAGTAGATGTTAGGTTTCTTCACTTGAACTTTTTAAACTTCAGAAGGTTATCATTTTGTGCAACTCTTATGAAATATAAACAGAGTGACATATTGCAGACCAAAAGCATGGTTTATAAACTCTGTCAGAAGTCATCACATGGAGAATCAAGAATTTTAGCAATGTTTTGACAAACAGGTAAAAAGTCATCAAAAAATCAATTTTCAGGAAATCTAAGAACTAATGAGGAAACCTGGTCATGAGACGAATAAGGATATAAGGACTGGTTTTCTTTAATGAATTGTCCTCGTGGAGTCCTTAGCAAGTTGTCCCGCTCATGTATGCTCATCAACTGCACCTGCTCCACCCAGTCCCTTAGCTGTGGACCTTCCTGGCTAGCACAAGACAGCTTCTCAGTGTGCACTCTGCCTCTCTGATGAGAGTGATTCTTGGCAGGGACTTCTGTTTTAAGTATTTCATTGTCCATAGGCCACTGTTAACTCTTTTCTACTCTTGGTTGAAGTCTCAAACTAATCCTAAAATATAGGTTGACTAGAATATTTAAGGTACAGAAGGCCATAAAAGAGATACTCAGAATAAGTTTAGATGATCCCCAGATGTGCCATTAAACACTAAATCATGCAAAAAAAAGCTACTCCTTTTTAGGCTTTTTGATGATGAGGAGACTGTTTCAGACTCGTGCTAGTATTCATCCACTATTTATGGCAAGTATAGTGGTTTCCCATTTATGATAGTGATATAAAGTGTTCTTTTAATTTTTTCTTAAGATTAAAGCATGAATCAGTAAAAAAAATGATACAAGCATTAATACATGTAGCATGCAAGTATCGTAAAATTGTGAAGATGTAGCTTCATAATAAAGTTTGGGGAATAATGATCTTTAGTTCTGTGCCCACCTCTGATCCTGTGTTTTTATTCTTTGTCCACTACCTTCTTATTGAGACATAAGATGCTTGAAGTGCACATGTAGTATGTTACTTCCTATAAAAGGAAAAAGGACAGATAAGAAGGGATCCATATGTCTGCTTTATCTTTACAAATAGCAGCATAGAAAGAACAAACTAAAAACCGTGAAGTTGGTGACATAGAACATAGGAGAAATTGGGATAAAAGGAATACAATAAAGGAAAGAGTAATACTTCTCCATGTTAACCTTTTTGTACAGTTTTGACTTTTGTAAACATGTTAATGTCCTACATATTTAGAAAATTACCAAGGATGAGAGGGAAGGCCTAAAACTAAAAACAAATAAAAAAGAAAGTTCCTAAATGCATTTAGATTAATACTATAACTACACTGAAGGAGGGGAAAAGGGATTTATAAACACATTATTTGATAGTATACATTTAGCCTTCACTTGGGAGGGAAAATTGCAAACAAATCTTGAACTCATTTTTAGTAGCATTTTTTTTTAGGGATAGATACAAACAATTCTGAAACCACTGTAGCCATATTCTAGGATTGAGTGAATGAAATGATGAATTAAACACTAGGATTCTCACTGAGAAGGAAAAAAAAAAAAGAACCCTGTGAGAATGGATTAGAACTGGGGGTATTGACGTGGAGTTATAATTTCTAAAATATGTATGTGTGTGTGTATGTATATTTACATGCACATTATTCCCAGCTCAGTCTCCTAAAAGAGCTTAGCTCCTCACAGATTGCCCTCAAGAGCAGTGAACAAAGACAGTCCAGTAATAAGGAAGATATCTAGTACCTAAATCTTGATCTGCAGTAACATTCCCACTGAAACAGTCTTCTCGGAGAAAGGGCTGATTGCAGAGATGGGGCAGGACAGATGCAACATGAGCCTACAACATCTTAGAATGCCAGAAGGTACTCAAAAGAATTATGGATTCAGGTCACAGAAAGCCAGGCTTCTGTGTGAAGGGACTCCCATTTGCCAAATCTGGGACAATTTGAGTACCAGAACAGTAGGCCGAGCAATATATATTCAATAATTCCCACTGAAAAGTGGGAATCCATCAGCCCATGTCAGTAATCATTTGATAAATATATTACTAAGGGGAGAAGAAAGAGCAGTTCTTTCCAGTGGAATGAGTGACGGGGGATGGACAGGGGGAGGAGGATTGTGGTGGAATAGCATAAGTCTGCAGCCAACATAGTTAATATGGGATCAGGCAAGAATCTGAATTTAATGATAAATATAAGTGGATATTTTAATCAGCAGTGTATTTTCATGGTCTTAGTCTTCCTGATTGTTTATTAGTTGTAATGGAAAACATAACTAGACAGTGGAGAACTCAGACAACATCTTGACCAGGTGATCAAAATTATCTCCAGTGAGGGACAAACAGATACTGTATGCCTCCAGAAGCAATATCCTGAGGAGGACATGGCATTCCTTATGTAGCATTCTGGTCAGGAATGCATGTCTTGAATCTTATGAGAAAGCATCAAACAGAACCAAACCGAGAAAAAAAAATGGAGGCAGGAGGATTATATTCTTTAAAAAATGTCAGTATCATATAAGAAAGGAAAAGGCTATGAGAATATTCCTGATTAAAGGAGACTAAAGAGACGTGACAACAAAGTACAATTATGGATCCTAAGGTGTGTCATGTAATGAAGCAATAACAAAAGGCTATAAAGGACTTGAGGTCAATCTATAGAATTAGAATATGCATAGTATCAATTTTAAATGAACCAAAGTTGAAAAGTGTGCTGTAGCACTGGGCCACATCCACTTTTATTCATAAATTGTTTGATACTGAGCCTCTAGAATGGTGCTTGGCATGTGGAAGGCATTAGATGAGTATTTATTAAATAAATAAGTAAATGGTTACCATGAGTCTTGTGTTTTGGATCAGCCCGGTGTTAGTCTTTACAGGCCTGCCTCTCAGGGCTTCCTGCTGGCATTTACTCTTAGCAGTGTTACTGTGCTTATGGCAGAGACCATCTTCTAATGCTTACTCATTATTTTTTTAGTTGCCCTATAGTCTGTGGCCACTTTTCTCTTACTACATTTTTATTTCTACTTTTTCAAATCTATTAGCTAGTAGTAAACGGATGGGATTTTCTGGGATCCTGGTTTGTCTTGTCTGCTTGATTAATCCCTAGTGTGGGCTTTGGATGTTTTACAGCTTTTGGATCTCTTCATCCAGTGGGACTGGTCGACCTACCTTGCTGATTATGGCCAGCCCAACTGCAAGTACCTACGGGTAAACCCTGTAACAGCGCTGACGCTGCTTGAGAAGTGAGTACCCAGTACAGTGGCCTATGTTGGGAAGAGGGGGAGTTAGGATAAGGGGATGATGTCAAGGTAATTTTCCTGGTCCCAATACTTGGAAAAGCTTCCTTATTCTTGCAGTTATCGTAGGTGCTGTCAGCTGTCTCAGTCATTATACTTGGCAAGCCAGTCTTCCTCTTGTAGCCTCTTAATTCTGGAGCCCAACAAGTAAGGCCAAATAGAGAGACCTCTGACAGTACTAGACTCTGACAGTACTGGACTCTGACACTGTCAGCCTAATGGCAAAGTGTCTTTAGAGCAAATAAGAGAAGAAAGGAAGCTGGCTTGCTTTGGGGCTCAGGCTCACCTGGTGAGCACAGTGCAAATGGTCTCAGTCACGCAGGTTATGATCAGCAGCCCCACGGAACACAGGGTTTCTCTGGTTCCTACCAGAGAAGTCCTGGGGATTACTGAAACATTCATCTTCCCTGAACTTTGGGACCCTGCCAGACTGAGTTTTATTGTGCTGACGGCCCCAAGAAAGCTGAACAGTCGCTAGCCAGTAAAAGTTGCTCTGCCACAAGCTGTGGTCTCTGAAGCAGAGGTACTACCTCTGGAATTGGCTTAGCCAGATCCATAACATCCTGGAGCTAAGTAATATGTCACCCAGAAGCTAGAATCTGCTGTGCATTGCAGCCTGTCTCTGGCTTTTCCTCACCTAGCAAGAGCTGGCATAGCAGAGACCAGGATGCATGTTAAAGGGCAGCGTTCTCTTACAGTTGGAATGACTGGTCAGAAGAGCACCTGCACCTATGCAGTGTAGAAAGTCTAAATGTTTGGCCAGTCAAGCATGTCTCAAATCCTAGGAAGGCAATGCCCAGAGTTAGGAGGCTAGAGCAGAGCCTGAAGCAGGGGAAGTCAAAGTATATCTTTCCTACTATGTGCTATGATAGGGGGAGAAAAGGGGAGAGAATGGAGGGAAGGAAGAGCAGGAAGCAGTGCAATGTATTTGAAACCAAGAGACTGACATGGTGTCAAGGACTGATGTTTCCATTTTAACTTTGTTTCCCATGGTTCTCTCTCCCAATGACCTTCCTCCCTAGGATATCTAGAGAGTAAGTATATTATTCACTTGGGCCTTTTCCATCACTCTGAGGCAAGTCCTACTGGCTTCCTCATTGACACTAATGATTACACTAAAATCCCTATCCTATAAATTTCCCCCTGCCCTGACATACTAATCTACTAAACCAGCCTGGTGCCAGTTGGCTGGCTACCTCCTCTATCCTTGATCCTTAGAGTGACCCTTGGCTTACCAATTCCTTTGGGGCTGAGAGTAGTGGCAAGGCTTTTTCTCCCTCAGTGCCCACTAAAGAATTGTTCCCACTCTGCTTTCTGGCACACTTGGTGCTCTTACCAGTTTAGGGTCTAAATTTCAGCCCTGACAAAAGAGAACCCCTGAGAAGTTTCCATACCTCCTGGTGGTGATGCCCATGGCTTTAAGATCTGGAACCTGAGTCTCCCAGGGAAAGTTCCTCATTACAGGCAAGGCCTAATCCCAGAGTTTGTTACCAGTTGAAGTAAGGAAACATTTTGACCTTTGAGTTGGTTCTGAAATGGTTACATTCATTATGTATCCAAATGAGTTCTGAGATACCTTCAGGTCAGTTACTTCTCTAAGGAGTCCTTTACTCCTCTGTTCCTGAGAATCTGTAAATCCAGAAAGTACAGGTTCATCCACTTCCTGTGGATCAGCAGTGGGCTAAAATAATCAGCTTCTGTCTACCATTCTGAAGGCCTACTCAGTAACAAAGCTATGTTGTAGCCCTAGCAGTCAGCAGAGTTTAAAAGCTTCCTTCCAAACACAGTAGGGAAAAGGCTACCCAGATCACTTAAAATCCATATCTTCCAGCCTCCTAGGAATCAATTCCTTTACCTGACCCATTCCTGCTTCCTCACAGTCGGCTACACTGAGCTTGACAGTCTCTTCTGTCTGGCCTTTCTTACCAGGATGAGACATAGAAAGACCCAAATACCTGTTGAAGACATTCAGGAAAAAGAAGAGACCTCGATGTCATTGAGAAGTGGTCATAGCGGGAATATAAGAGGATCTTGGGCTTGCAGAATGGGCTGGGATATGGGAGAGTTTTGGCTTGGGAATATTCCTGAGTACAAACCCACATGTCACTATCCCCCCTCAGGGCATGTGGGTTTACCCGTATAGTGCCTAATTCCAACTCCATGCTTTAATGGCCAAGAAATCTTGGCCTCTGCAGTAGTCTGCCCTTGTCTTCACTTTCCCCTACATATTACAGGAGCTTCCCATGGGAGCTGAAGGCTAGCTCTGGCTGCCTGTCCCTGGACTGCTTCAAGGAGTTATGGAATTAATGATCACATAGAACATTAAACTAAATGTTTGTCATATAGAAAGTAATTCTTCTTTATTTCCTCTTTCTTTTTTCTTTGTTTTTTATTACTGTTCTTTAGATTTATAGCATGCCCAAAGTGGAAGGGGAATCCTTCTCTGGGATCATCTAAAAGGAGACCAGTTCCCCAAACAAAATTGTGCAGCTAGTATGTAAGGGACCAAATACTATCATCATCACTAGAGCCTGGAGGACCTTTATGCTTTCTTTTCACCCAAGCCCAGTCACCCCTCCTTCCTCCTGGAAGCACAGGCCTCCACCGCTGGGTGATGATTCTGAGTGTGTTTGATGAGTAATTCCAACCCAAAGGAGCTGCTTTGAGCTTAAATTAGGGAGAAAAGTCTCAATTAGTTTTGGCGACCCTCCTCAGCCAGAGCTATACAGCTATAGTTCCCATCAGAACTTTTCTTACACATATAGTACCTTATAGTACCTTTATGACATAATTCTGGAATGTATGATATACCTTATGCTTACTGTGTATATGACATTACATACATACATATAGCAGATATAAATGCCCTTGTAGAATCTCTGCCCTTTTGACTCACTGACCTCTAATCTGCCCCCTTTGCAAACCACAGCCCACTTAGGGGGAAAAAGGCCCAGACTTAGCCAAAGCCCCATGGGAAGTACACCTGGGAATAATTTATACTTCCGTCAGCCTCCTTCCCTTCCCTCTTACAGCCTATCTCCATGCAGCCTAGGGAGCTGTGAAGTGGGAGAGCTGGCGCCTCTCCTAGGGAATTGTATAAAGGCTGGTCTATCCTATCCCCGAGAAGCTGATCTGTCCACTATCCTTAATTCTCTAACATTAAAAGTAGCTATGGACTGGGGCTGTGGTGTGCAGAGGCTGGGACCAGAGTTAACCATCACCAACAGGTGCTAGGGGGATCTAGAATAACAGATTTGTACATTTTGTCAAAGTGGCTTGGTCAGACTTGTAGGTTCTGTGACAATTCCTTTATCCATGCCTCCTAGGTAGCATTCTGCATCTCACAGAACCACTGGCCAGAACTTCCCATTATTGGTACTCTTGGGATAGTGTCATCTGAGGAGCTTTAGCATGACCCAAAGATCAAAAGTCTAAGAATATAGACAGCCATAAATCAGGGGCTCTTCTTGCTTAAAACCCTGGTTTCTCAACTGAGGGGATGGACCACCCTTTGGTACCTTCTTTCCTTAGCACCATACTTACTTAGTCGCCTGACTACCTATCAGGGCCTTACCCTGAGACCAAAGAAAAGAGATTAATTAGTCAAGGCCATGATTTCTTTAGGGATAGGAGAAAGTAACCAGCTAGAGTGTGGCTTAGAAATACATAGTGACTTTTAGTTATTTATGTTCTCTTGGAATTACTAGTTTTATGAACATTTTTTATGCTTCACTTCCAAATACCATCTGTAAGGTCCCAACAGATTCATGAAGAAGTAATGAGTGGATCGTGGACATTCTGTAAGGGTTTAATGCCTAGCAGAGCTGTGGCATGTCTCATACTCCTTTGTCATGTGCATACCTGGAGGGAGAAGGGATGAATGAGGTGGGTAGGTGTGAGGGGAGTAAGAAGATGGGTCCCTCCAAAGCTGGCTCTTGACTGTTTTCCAAGTATGATCATGCCAGAAGGGCAGCTTCCTGATCAGTAGGTAAGTACAGGCCTAACAATGGGAGAAGTCTGGACTCTTCCACTCTAGGTAGCAGTTAAGATATATCATGCCATCCTGCCTACTGCAGTTTCTCTTCTAATATCTCCTCAAACACTTTCCCCTCTTTCTTTCCTTCTCTGTTTAGGATGAAGGATACTAGCCGCAAGAACAACATGTTTGCACAGTTTCGGAAAAATGAGCGAGACAAGCAGAAATTGATTGACACTGTGGCCAAGCAGCTTCGAGGACTCATCAGCAGCCACCACTCATGAAGGCTGGCCTCAGCCCATAGGGGCTACTTCCTGCAGCTCCACAGTCCAGGATCCAGCTCAGGCTGGCGCTGCATTTGTGCTTTCTTCTTCAAAGAGAACATATGTATTTTTTTATTAACCCTGTACAGTATTCACATAATCTTTCCCTGATAAAAGAGACATGAGGATAAGCAAGTACATAAAACGTTGCTAGTGGGGACTTGAAAGTTATTACTACACTGTCTGTATTGTCCTAGAAAAGGAGGTGATATCATTCTGAATGTGATAAACCACCTCTCATCCATGGCTCTACAGTTTAGTTCTGGAGCCTAGGAACTACCCAGACAAAGTAGGTGCTTTTTCTAAGAGGTAAGGTGAGTAACCAAAGGATAATAAAGTATATCCTGTTCACTCCCGAGTGCCCATTTACCACGTAGATGAGGCTAATCCTTCTTGATGCAAGGAAAGAGCCTATCAAACGTTACTGTTTAACACACTAAAGACAGTTCTAGGTGTCCATTTCTCAGTCTGCTGATTTTCATTGACTGGCGTGGCAAGGTGACAGCTTCACTTCAGTCCCCCAAGGATTGTTTCTTTAGCCCTGATCTGACCCAAGGGTTTTACTGTTTTTTTTTTTTTTTTCCTGTGGCAGGATAAACAGCAGTACCTTTGGATCCCAGGATTCACTGCAGGTTGCTCTGACATTAGGAGTGTTGGCTCTCAGCGTAGGGTATTTTTCTGGATTTTAAAAGCAAACAGTTTGAATTAGAGCCCCAGTCCTTTTCCTCTTTATCTTATTCCCTTCTATTATGGTCAGAACACTTGGTTCAAAATGTAGGTCAACAGTTATTTCTGCAGGTCCTCACAGAGAGTCACAGTGTGCTTCTTCCAACAGTACCGTTGAGATTGGTCAGATCTCAGAAGCCTGAAAATAGTCCTCCCTTTACCCTTATGTAAAACCCAAGGATTACTTGGTATGTTCATTTGTGTTTAAAACAACTTTCTGGCCAACATCTTTAAAGGAAATTTTACCAGCTGTGCACTATGGAGGCAGCCATGGCTAGACTAGGGATGAAGCCACTGCTACCATGAGGAAGACAGGGCCAACCATGGCTGGAGGCATGTTGCCTCTGGCCCAGTTGCCATTTTTACTAAGTTATATACCGTATACAGAGCTATTCTTGGTCAAGCCCAAGGCTTCCATCCTTTCCTGAAGTCCCTTCTCAAAGCCATCTTTTGGCCTCATCTGAGAATAATTGCCTATAATCCTGTCACCCAGACTCTAGAGTCTAAACCAACTTAGCTTGGAAGCTGTATCTGTTGTCCTAGATGGACTCCAGAGCCTTAAGGTAAGGGCTTTGCTATAAGATCAGTTAGATGAACCTACACTTTCAGACACTTCAGGAAGATGCTACTACAACTACTGGTAAGAGTATACTTTTACATCACCAGGCAATGACAAATAAGCCATGTGGGCATTTCCAGCTTGGATTAGAGGGAGGAAAGATTCATCAGGTAGAATTTTGCACAACTTTTTTCAGCTATTGGGTTGCTTCTGAGAAGGGTAGTGCTTCCATTTTCATTCCCCACCCTCTACCATTTTCATATCATATCTTGAAAACCGTGGAAAAGAAAATATGCATACTGATGTGCAGCCCTCTTCAAAGCTGGAACAACCAGGCTGCATCCAAGTTCTGCAAAAGCCTGTGACACCCACGGTTTTAGAAAGAGGGTTAGGGTTATGAAAAACTTGATAAGCCAAAGGAAGGCAGGGCCTGTAGGAATGAGACCCAAGAGATTCCAAGCCCAGAACTTCATTGCAAAAGCTGAGAAATGGTTACACTAATCTGAAGTCATGTTACTTGAGAAGGACCCCAGATACCCTCCTGTACTAGTACTCAGTGTGTAGTAAGATCTCTTCTGCTTTGCATGCTGAGACTTTGAATGGAGTGGAGTGAATTTCAAGCATGGCACTGCATTTGTCTTTCTAAAGAGCCATCACTGCTGGTCTGCTCACAAACCTCTGCCCTGGAAGAACTGTACTGTAGAGGAAAAGGTGAACAGCATGGAGAAATAGGGGCCACTCTACACCTTTGACATGAAGTCCTGCTAAAGGAAAAGCTTATTCAAGCACAAGACTCATAAGGATGGACCCTTTGGTGTATCTCCTCTGCCTTCTCCGTCTACCTTTACTCCTCCCTAACAAAACAAACCAACGTGCTGCTTCTGAAGTGTATATAGAGACTTACTCTTAGTGGCCCAGGAAAAGTAAAAACAGGGACCAGCAATGTCAAGGGGTTTTGAATTGGTGAAGTGGGCGTTTCTTAGTTTTGTCTACAGGCCTGTAGCTGAGCCACCACTTGAAAGGACTTAGGCAGAGCATGTGTGTTCATGCCACTCACACTCCTCATATCTGGCCTCACATGCCTAGGCATATACCAGTGCCCTAGAGGGTTTTAGAAGAGGGCAAAAATGCATGGTGGGAAGCCTCCTGCCTTCTAGTCACTGAGCTTTTGTCCATGCTCTTGAAAAACCCAGATCTATGCTTCTGAAGAGAGTCTGGTTTAGGACCCCAGTGGTTTCAGTAGTAATATGGACAGCTTAACACTCAGAGGAAAGTCTCTTTGCACAGACTGGGTGACACTATTGCAAGTGAGGAAGAACACGAAGGACCTGGAACTAGAATCAGCAAAGTCACAGTTGGCAAAAGCCTGGGGAGTATTCCTGGTGATTTCGTTGCATACCAGACCAGTCTCCCTACCCTCAAAGTGATCTAGCTTTGCTGCAAGTGCTTGCTTATCAAGTCCCAGACCCAGGGAAGAGTGGCATTGGCCATGACCTTCTTCCTGGGGTCTCTGAGTACACTCTCTGGGAGCTGCTTCAGAAATCCCTCTACTTGAGTCACCCCTCTCCAAGGACTCTTCTGACTGCTTCAATTGCCTCTTTCTTTTTTTTCTGTTTAAAAATTCTTTTGTTTTTTTCTGTTCTTTTTCTATTTCCTTCCTTCCTTCCCTCCTTCCTTCCTTACTCTCTCCTTCTTTCTTTGTTTGCTTGCACTTGTAATGACTTCACTAATGTGTTGGAAAAGGCCTTTTTATTTTGCACAAGTAGTTACACATTTATGGGGAAATTTTAGTAAAGTCTGTTTTTAACTCTAAAGGGAACTTTTTTCTCTAAAACTCAATAGTAAAGCTACTGATGCAAATGGGCCATGTGGTTAGGAGAAAGCGCCTCTGTGGAAAGAGCATGTTTATTCCTCTTGTACATTTTCCTCTTTTAATTGCTATTAAACGAGAGGGCCTACATACCTGTTTCAAAAGCCACAGTGCTGTCTCATGGGTTTTTTGTTCTTCCATAACTTTTGCACAGTGTAGGTGTGGTTGGTGATAGACCCCAATGGCAAACACTGTGTTCTCACTCAGGGGAAGGAGGAGTGAAGTAGGCAGGGTCCTGGTGTAGAGAAAGCCTGTCTCCACACAAGGCAAGGCACTGTGTTTTGTCCGTGGAAATCTCCGTGACCACTGGGTTAGGTTTCCCATCTATTCAGCTACAGTTGGCATCATCATCAAGAGGAGTAACTTGAAATGTCTAATGTATGAAGACTCCTAAGCTAGGGAATGTCAGGTCCAATGAGTTTTGAAGAACAGCCCTCCTTGGAAAGGCTTCCTCAAGATGGGAAGCAAAACCAGCCTGCAGGAGGAGGAGAAATGAGCCCGTTTGAGTGCTAAGTTGGACAGAGTAACGGGCATCCTTGACTGGTGTGAAAAAGGACCTCATTAAGGAAGACAGCACAGAGAAAGCAGGATGTCAATTAGCTGGCCCTTGAGTTAATTCAAACTTGAGTAAGCGGTGGGAATATTTGAGGTACAGGCCACATTACAGTGCAAAATTGGCACAAGCCTGGTATGTGCTGGGAAGATGATGAAGAATCTGCTAGGTGCACTTGGAACCATGGTGAGTAAGACCAGAATGTCAGTGTAGCAGCTCACAACCTGCTTGCCTCTTAGGCTGGCATGGAAGCCGTGGAAGGAGGTCAGGAAGAGTGTTTTCAGTCATGTCTTCTTGTGTGATGGGCTTTGACACCTGAGAGGCCTGGATTTCTATTCCTGCAGCATCGCCAACTAGCTGAATGACCTTGAACAAATTAGCCACTCCCTAAATTTTGTTATACTTACCATTGAAATCAGAATGATGGTCCTTAGTTTACAATAATGTGACATATGAGCCATGGAAAGCTAACATGCTTGGCCAGTCCTGAGCCATAGCACATGCACAGTCTAAGGCCTCTTCCCTTTCCAATTCCACAGCGTGCCTCATGGCCGAGTGCTGGACCAATGTTCAGAGCTGCTCTGCACCCTGCTTTCTGCTGAGCCCAACACGGGGTTGGTAGTAATGCCCTTTATGCACCTCCACAGGAAGCAGGAGCAACCTTCCAAATCAGACCACCAGCTGCCTAGCTTAGTGTAAAGCTAGTCCTTCAAGTGGAATCTGCCCAGCATCACCACTAGAACCTTATCGGCTTTCACTTTGGTGCCAAAACTTATACTTCCTTCTAGAACTCCAAAGTTCTTCACCAGGGGTCCCAAAAACCTTGAAGAGTGTTGCAGGGAGTGGCTCTCACCTACCCATGTTTTCTGGGGAGAAAATTTATGGCTTTTGTCAATGTCTCAGAAAGATTAATGACTAAAATACCATGAATGATAACCAAATGCCTTTGGAAATGTTGATCTGCCCCTGAGAGAAAGCCAGTTCTGAGCAGCAACCTCCTCACCCTGTGTTCTACAGCTCAGGCAGGTTTTCACAGCCTGCTGTTCTACCTCCCACCTTTTCCTGAGAGCACCCATGAGAACCCCAGGTCACCTCTAAAGATGAGTAAAGCCACTTCCTTTCTCTGGCCACACTGGCTTGTGGTACTGAGGGGACAGGAGGACTCTGCACTCCTCAGAATTCAGAGGCCTACAGTTGATTAAGAAGATGACAAGAGGGCCGGTAGAGAGGCTTGGCCACTATATTCCAGCTGAACCTGACTCACCACAGAACATTTCCCACAATCTAGGTGCTGACTGTCACAGTTTTGGGCCTAAGGCTTTATCCAGGAGAGTCCATCAGCAGAGAATCTCTAAAGGAGAAAAACAAATAGAAACTAAGGGAAAATTATGAAGCAGATACCAGCTTGCCCCTTTCTCACAGCTGGCCAGGCTGATGAGGATGGGGAAGAAAAGAGAGGGAAAGCGCCAGACCCTTTCCCCGGAGGCCTCATTTTGAATTTAATGGACAGCATTTGTGGGGAATGAGAGAGGCTTCAAGCCCAAGGGACCAGAAGACAAAGGCTCTTGAGGAAGTGCAAGGAGGAGGAGGGCCCCCGCATTGTGTGGGAGAGCTCTCCCTCTATCTGTTTCATCTCTGTTGGGGTTAGGGTTACCCTGCATTTGGGGCCCCAGCTGCTTTGTGGGGTCTGTGACATCAGCCCTTGTGATGATAATGGATGGGCCTCTCAGAGGAGGCACCCCTTCCTTTGCCAACCCATACCAGCTTCCAGAGAGGATTGAAGCTCTTGTTCCCTTAGGGAGGGGGCAGGCTGTGGGCCCAGAATTGGACCCAAAACAACAGTCCCCCCTCCCAGGCTGAACCCACTGCTAAGTGTACCTTCCAAGCCCAAGCTATGACCTTCCTCTCTCCAAAGCTCCAGAAAAGGAAAGGAATCTGAACATTGAGACGCTTTTCTGGCCCTAAACAATCCTCCCATTCTCTAGGCTCAATGATGGGTCTATTCCCTCCTGTAAATGGGTCTCGTAATCTTCAACTTTTACCTTTGCTTCTAAGGGTAATTAATTGGATCTCCCTCTTGTTCTCCCCACACACTCCCCTCTCTGTTACAAGGCTCAGGTTAAACTGGCTTTTTCTTTTTTTTTTTTTTTCTATTCTATGGGGTGCTTATTTTTAAAGCTGGTGGATTAAGGCCCTGCCCTCCCTTGGATATCCCTTCTCCAGAGAAGCCCACTAGGGGAAATGACTTCCGCAGACACTGGAAAGGGGCTCATGAGTGTGCCAGCTAGAGGCTTTTCACATCTCCAGTTCTGAGTGACTAGGTCACTTTTCCCAAAACATGTGCTGCCAAGAGTTTAGGGAAGAGGGAGTTTTTAGGCAGCACTCTGAAGAGCAAAGTGGAGGGTTATGTGTGATCTGGACAGTAGACAAAGCGATGCAAAGAAGGCATGGACAAAGTAAAACCTAGAGATCAACATTTTTTTTTTTTTTTAACCAAGGTAAAGAAAACCAATAAGGCCTCAGGTGCTGAACAGCAAGGTAAGTGAGGTGAGGATATGGCCCAGGCAGGAGCAGCTGGACACAGGGCTTCATGCAGGTATGAAGTTAAACTCCAGAGAGACACAATTTCTAGTTACCTGTGGACTTGTCAGATTCTTCTAGTAGATCATGGGTTCTTTGAAGGCTGAAACAATTTACTCCTGTCTGAATCTCCTGGAGCACCTAGCCCGGCAAATGGCACATGGACACTCATTTCCAAAAGAATCAAAACTATAAAGGAACTATCAGGTACCAAGGGAGGGGATTCTGAGAGCAGTGTTCCCTGCTTGGAGAAATATTTTGTCACTAGCAGTGACCAGGGCTGTCAGTATAGGATTGTCAATATTGCCAACCAATTAAGATAAGTTTTAGATGGTTTACATAGTTTTAGAATACCTGTGCCATCCTTCTCTTTAATGCCATTGAGTATGGAAGAGGTTGAAGATAGGGTGAGTCAGGTGGGCAAGAAAGTAGCAGTTAAATTCATCAGCAGGATGTCCTCATGGTGGTGATGACTGTGTGTGTACATGTATATGTGTATCTGTGAGTCCACAGTGTATATGGGGTAGCACACAAAATGGGAATATCCTGCACTGAATCCTAATCCCATTTCACACTTATGATCACTGTTCATGCTGTGATGATATTCTTTCAGATTATTTGAACATGTATATATTGACACAAAAACTACAGTGCATTATAGTATTATTTTTTCACTTAATTTATCTTAAATATCTTTCATTGGCAACATACAGAATTTCTTCATCCTTATGAAACCCATGAAATGTATGCATTGCCTGGATGGACCATAAGTTTATTTAACAGATTCTGAATTGATGAATATTTGGAATGTTTCCCATACTTCACCAAGGTCAAGCAGTTAAAAACTAAGATTTTAAAAATCACCAATGTATACTCTCCAGTAGGCTATGAAAGAGTGTTTATATGTCCTCAGTCCTAAGTAAATCAAAATTTTCATCCTGTCAATCTTGTAAGTAAAAAATGAATTATTTCCCTTTTTTAAAATTTACATTCATTTATAGTGCACTTAAACATCTTTTTATGTTGTTCGTTGGTCATTTGTGTTTCTTTTTATAAGGACTGACTTTGCAGATGTTCTATCTTTAAAAAAATAAGCTGTTTTATTTTCCATATTGATATGTCAATTTTTGAATGAAGGACTTTATTTGCCACTTATATTGCAAATATTTTTCTTACTTTGTCTTTAGAGTTTACTCATGGTATATATCAGTTAGGGTTCTTTATTTTGCAAGTAACAAAAATCCAACTCAGAAAAAGACATTTATTGACTAAAAGACCAAAAGTAGTTCAGGTTAATTCAATAACTAAAACATATCAAAGTTGTGTATTCTTTCCTTCTCTCTGCTCTGCCTTTTATGGTGAGCAGACCATCCCATGTCTTACTTCTCTCATGGTGGTGAAAAGGCTGCCATTTGATTAGGTTTTACATCCCACTCCTCCCTCTGAGAAATTGACTTTCAGTGGCACTCTTAGAAGAGCAGGGAACATTTTATCCTAAAATACTGCAATATTTATTGTGTGTTTCTATTTTTAATTTTTAACCTTTATTTTAAAGAGAATTTTAAAAATCAATAAAAATGAAGCTTTGCACAGTGGCAGTATCGTAGCCAATGAGGTTTATCAGAGGCGCGATTATTACTAAAAATCAATAAAAACAATACAGAATTTCAAAATAAAATGATAGGAAATTAATAACGATTATTTTATTATGTATTGTTATCTTCAAAGCAGTTGCTCAGATTACCAGATATAGGCATGTAAGATTGATCAAACAGTATAAACACTAACTATTCCTTTCAATGAACTAATAGAAATTAGTAGTACCACTATCTTAGCTATCTTGTGCCTTTGTGTATCTTCTTTTCTCCTTAAAGGTTATTTTTTTGTTTTTGTTTTTGTTTTGTTTTTTCTCCGGTACCGGGAACCGAACTCACGACCTTGCGCATGCCAGGCAGGCGCTTTTGCCGCTGAGCTA